CCCTCTCCCTCCCTTCACCCCTGGCCCCCGCGTCCCCAGGGACCTGCTGAAACCGAAGAATCTCAGTACCAGGGAAGATCCTGGCATCGGCAATCCTCCAAGAAGGACCTCTGCGTCACCCGCGGGGGCGCGAAGACAGCGCGCGTTTCCCCTTGGGGGCGCCGGGAGGGCCACCGCGCATCTCGCGCGGCGCGGAGCGCGAAGTCAGACGACGCAGCGCCTGGCTCCTTGGGCCCGTTCCCCAGGGCTCGTCCCGAGAGGAGCTCCTTCGGGCAAGGGGCGTGATGGGGGGCGATCAGGGGGGGGGGGGGGGGCAGCGAGGGCTGCCGAAGCGGGGTCCTTGAGGGTCCCTCAAGGGGCCTTTCGGGCCCAGACAAGGGCACCTTTCTTGTCCCAACCGTTTATCTCCTCCCCATGAATTCGCGCCCAACTCCCGAGGTCCCTCCGCGGAGGCTGCAAGAGCTCGTCCCAGAGCCTCGCCCCACTGATCCTCTAGGAGAGCCATCCGTCTCCCGCCGCGCTGGGTGGTGCGGGGCCACCGGGTGCCGCTTCTCTCGATGACGCGCAGGAGTGACCCTTCGCCGGAGTGGCCTCCGGGGCGCGCCCGCTGGGGCCCCCCGATCGCCGAGTGCGGTGCGGTAGTGTCGGGGTTGGACAGAGCCCCCACCCTGAACACGCCGATTCGTGAATTGTCCGTTCTCGGTGCTTGAGAGGGCGCCGCGGCCGTCATTCTTCCAGGCTTGCGCCCGCCAGGTCTGGGCCCGAGGTCATTTTCGCTATACCACGTTTGACTGGAGGGAGTTTTGTCCATCCCCGATAGTGGCGTCTCGCGCGCTTGTGTTTGGTCCCTCCGCTGAAGCGCCGAAGGTCGCTCTTGCCCAGGGTCGCTCCTGCGTGTGGCCGATTCTCGTAGCAGGGCGAGTTGAGACCACGGTCGCTTCTGATCGTCCTGGCCCCTCTCCAGGGCCCCAGCCCGCAGCAGTCCACGGCAACAAGAAAACCTCTCCGGGGCCCAGGGCTCGGATGGGGCCAGGGCGTGGATGGATCCGTTCAGAGCGTTCCGGCACGCGCTCAGAGCCCTCCGGAAGGCCCTGAGAAGGCCGCGGCGCGCGGGACGTCCTCCCGATCCGCCGGACCTCCGAGGTTCTCGATTCCTCCCTGCCCGGTCTTGTCCACGTCCTGGCTTCTGCCTCAATCAGAAGAGGAAAAACCATTCCGACCCGACAGTTGGCGTTTACTAAACGGCCCTGGGTGGTTATGATCGGGGTGATTTTTTCCTACCCTCTGCTCATGGCGCGCCAGTGATCCGAGCGGCGCCCAGCCTTGGCGGCGAGCCCCCCCCCCCGCCCCCGAGGAGGCCCAGTGCCGCCGTGTGCCTCGGCGGGCCTACTCCGCGGCGGAGCGTCGGAGAGCCCCCCCCCCTGGAGGTTCGCCCTCTCCGGCGGCGCGGGCGGCCGCGTGGCGTACGTGCCGCGCGTGCTGGACGCCGTGGGCGAAGCACACGTCCGTGTCACCGAGAAGGAAAGAACCACGGACCCTCATAACACGGTGGAGGCGTGGCCCCATGGAGGTCTACGTCGCTACATTCGGGATGATAGGGCAGGGTGGTTTGGTTCGATGCATCTGCAGAACAGAGCCCCTGTCCCTAATTAGTGCTTTGGGCCCTCCTAGCATAGGTCCCTCCCCCAAGGGTTTGGGGTCCTTTGTTGGTGAATCACCGAGGGCGAAACACACGGCGTCGCACGCCGGGGCGGGGAACACATCGCCACGGGCCCCCCGTGCGCTCCGCCTCGGGCGCCCCCCCGAGCGCCCTTCAGAGCCCTCATAGGCGCAGCGACACGTCGGTCGTTGAAAGTAGGTATTTTTCGGCTGCAAAGCATGGGAGCCTGGCAAGTGTGCCTTCTCCACTCCGCCTTCAGCGCCGACTCGCGGCGATCAGCGCCTGGCGGTCGATGAGATGGCTCCGAGGTGGCGCCGACGAGGTAACGCCGATACAGCTCCGTGGGCGAGACGCACGACGCCCCGCGTGGGGGCGGGGAAAAACGTGTCCCCCCCCCCCCCGCGCTCTGCCTCGGGCGCCCCTCCTCGGGCGTCTTCCAGGCCTCCCCGCATTAGTTCTCTTGTGCGCAGCGGGCGGGGGCGCAGGGTCCCGCCGCGGGCCCCCGCCGCGGCGCTGCCAGTGCCGTTCGTCCGCGGCGGCGCTGCCGAAAAGCGGTTCGCGAGCGGCGAAGACGCGGACCCGATAATTGGCGTATGCTAGACGGCCTCGGGCATTTACTAAACAGCCCTGCCCTGTTCGATTCCTTGTTTGGGTGCGTTTACTAAACGGCCTCGCTTGTCGGTGTGGTTATCATGGGGGTGGAGTTTTTTGCCCTCTACACACGTCGGTCGTTGAAAGTAGGTATTCTCCGGTACCGAATCATGGGAGCCTGGTATACCCCCTCTGAGGTCCGTCTTGAGAGTCGACTGGCGTCGATGGCCGTTCTGGGAGTCGATGAGATGGTGCCGATTCAGCGTCGAAGTTGCGTCGACCAGCGTCGACCAGCGTCGACTAGCGTCGATGAGCGTCGATTCGCAAGAGCCGACAAGATGGTATGGGAGGTTTCCATGAGTTGCCACCGAAGTATTCTGGATTCCCGGATCCCGGTCTACTTCTGGTGCCGTCCTATTTCAAGAAGCCATGTACGTTTGCTGCGCCCTGTGGCTCTCTGGGAGGGCCTGGACCCAACCTGCTTTCTCCGCCTTCCTACATCATGCCTTTACCTTTAAGTCGGGCGTGTCCCTCTACAGGGGCAATCTTCAAAAATAGTAAAAAATAGTCTGGGGATTATTTTTTGAGCATTGTTCGACCATTTGGGGGCATCTTTCGATTATTTCTTTTCTCCGTCGTCCAAGATCCCCCTCTAGGGGGACACGCCCGACCTAACTTTACCAACATCTTCCGGCCGACGTGTCTCCGCGGCCTCGCGGGTCGGGCCCCCAGGGGCGGCGACCCCGCGGATGCACGGGGCGTCGTCTCGCGGCTGCCCCCGCGTGGAGCGTGCCCGTGCGGCCAGGGCGTCCGCGGGCTCGCGTCCGGAGTCCAGACCGCGAGGGTGCGTCGGCGCTCTCAAGAGGCGGGGGTCGATGCAGACGGGGGTCCGCCAGGACACCGGGTCTTGCAGGATCCTGCGAAGACCCCCTCTGGCTGACTCGGGTTAGCGAGCCGCCCGTGGCCGCGAGGCGGCCGCGCATATTGGCTGACCCGGGTTTGCGAAGCCCTGCGTTGCAGTTTTTGTTTCCTGCATTGTTTGTTTTTCGGTTTCCTGCTGACCCGGGTCTGACTGACCCGGGTTATCACCACCCACCAAACCACCCCAACCCAACCCGAAGGCTCAGATTTACCCTCGATTTCCAGTGGGGGGGGGTCGGGAAACATCGAACAAAACGCGTGTGGAACCCTTACCCCCCCCAACCCGAAATTCGGGTCGTCGGGTTGGGTTGGGGTGGTCTGGTAGGTAGTCAGGTTAGCAGCTTCCCGAGTGCGGACATGGACACCCTTGAGGTCAGACGTTGCCAGAAAAATGCAATTTCTCCACGGCCGCGACCAGAGCCTTGAGCCCATCTCTCTGCGGCGTTATCGTTGAGAACAAAAGGACCCCTACCCCAATAGCACGATGAAGACGTGGCCTCACTGAGGACCCCGCCTTCACAGTAGGGATAATACATTTGGGCGGCTTGGCCTGGTACATCTGCAGAAAAAAACCATCGCTAATGCTTCTGGCCCTCTTACAAGCCTCGTCAAAAATAAACAGAAGACTTATGAATTCGGTGATTGTGGGGTCAGCGCTACTCTAATGCTGACGGATGCCTGTTGACTCGGACGCGGTGTTGTCCAAAAACCGACCCCACCCTCTCAGCATTGAAGAACGCGTTTTCTGACAAGTGCCCGAAAGCATCGTGCTCCCGGATGTCTAACTTCCATGCCTGGATCTGTTTGACGAGGCTTGTAAGTGAGGTCCCCTCCCAAACGTTTAGGACCCTGGGCGGAGGCGGCCGTCGTGAGACAGCTGCCACGACGGGGTCGTGGGGACGTCCGCCGCTCCCCAGGGCGGCGTCGAGCTGCTCCGCTCAAGTGTTAAGTCGGGCGTGTCCCTCTACAGGGGGAATCTTCCAAAATAGTCCAAAAATCTTCGGGGGACGATGTTTTGACTATTTCTGAACATTGGGGTTGTATTGTTTGAGTATTTTTTAAATTGTCGCCCAAAATCCCCCTGTAGGGGGACACGCCCGACTTACCTCAAGTGGTTTGTCACACTTGAGCGGAGCATCGGTGCCACTGCAGCTCGTGATTGCACATGGTTTGCACGAGTCGCTGCAGGTGTGCAGGCATGCCCCGACGAATGCCGCACTGCGTGACTGTGTTGCGAGCCGCAGCCGCCGAGGCTCGAGTCCAAAAGTCGCCAGGCAGGTCCTATGTGTGGAGCCAGGCGCGGAAAGTTGCGCAATCACTGCTTGGGAGCTCTTTTTGTATCATCGTGCCTCCCCGGGACACCTGCCAACACGACCAAGACACCTGCCAACACGACAACCACCGACACCGACGCAGGAACCAAGTCCAGCAGGGAAGCACGCCAGTGCTGTCTGGCCTCTGCTCTCCACAGCACGCGTACGCACATAGAGAAGCTACGACCTCCACGCGATCCGGCCCAATGAGGCAAGGACGATGTCTTGACTTAGCTGCTCTGATACGCACGTTTTAAAAACGTAACACGTGCCGTGTTCAAAACGTCCGTGTTCAAAACGTCCGTGTTCAGTCTACGTGTTGAGCTCCGTATCAATACGCCACATGTTGCGTGTGGCGTATCGGGGCAGCTGAGTGGCCCGATGAGAGTGCGAGTGCGAATGCGAATGCGAACGTGCCTCCCCAGGACGGCGTCGAGCTCCTGGTCCCGGGCGACGCCGATCGCGCCGCCGCCGAGGAGGCCGCCGAGGCGGCCGCCCCGTCGCCGCCGCGCACAGCGCGGGCCCGGTGTGCGCGGGTGCTGCTGGAGCCGCCCGGCTGCGGCACGCCGCCGCGCCCGGCGACGGCGGAGGCCGAGGCGGAGGCGCAGGGAACTGTTGTTGATTCCTCCTCCTCCGCCTCCGCCTCCGCCTCCTCCTCCTCCTCCCCTCGTTCTCCTCCTCCTCCTCCTCCTCCTCCTCCTCCTCCTCCTCCTCGGCATGGGACGTGCGCTCCTCCTCCTCCTCCTCCGCTTTCCCCTCCTCCCTCCTCCCTCCTCCGTCCTCCCTCCCCCTCCTCCCCCTCCTCCCTCCTCTGCCATCCTCCTCCTCCTTGCCTCCTCCTCCTCCTGCTCCTCCTCTCCTCCTCCTCCTCCTCCTCCTCCTCCTCCTCCTCCTCCTCCTCCTCCTCCTCCTCTCTTCCTCCTCCTCTCTCCTCCTCCTCCTCCTCCTCCTCCTCCTCCTCCTCCTCCTCCTCCTCCTCCTCCTCCTCCTCCTCCTCCCCCTCCTCCCTCCTCCTCCTCCCCCCCCTCACCCTCCTCCCACTCCTCCCCATCCTCATTCATCCGTCCCCTCTCCCCTCCCCCCTCCAACTCCCCCCATCTTCCCTCCTTCCCCCGTCCCCTTCTCATTTCCGCTTCGGTTCGATTCCGATCCCATCTCGGTTCCGATTCCGATTCCGATTCCGATCTGCTTTCGGATTCCGACCTGGATTTCTCGGTTCCTCAGTGGAGGCCTCACTGGCCTACCGAGTTCCGCCGGTCCTACTTCTCCCGACCCGGCCGCCGAGTGCCGCCGATCCGATTCGTCGATTCGATGCTGGGCTCACTCCTGCCGAGGCGGAGGCGTGGGCCCCGCCGCGGCCGTTCGGCTGCTCGGCCAGCTTCCCGGCCGCGGCGCGCATCGCGGTGCGCGCCGCGCCGAGCCAGGACCGCCATGGTGGGCGACCATGCGATCCAGGCGTTGCATTTGTGTGTGTGTGTGTGTGTGTTCACCGGGCGTTTTCGCCTGCTCTGGTCGACCAGACGTAAGCATGACCTTTCGCCAGAGTGACCTTTGGTGCGGGCCCATGGGGGTCCCCCGATCGCCGAGCGCGACGCGATAACAGCGTCTTGCGCGCTTGTGTTTGGGCCCCCCGCGGCCCTCAAAAAGCCGCGCACCAAAGGTCACTCTTACCCAGGGTCACTCCTGCGTGTGGCCGATTTCGGGCCCCGGGGTTATCACAGATCCGTCCGGCTGGAAAGATGTCGGAGAAAGCCGAGGTCGAAACAGAGCTTCGGTCGTGATTGCTCGCGATGCTGCCACTTCTTCGCCACGTCGGATCCAAGGGCGCCAGGACCGCCATGGTGAGCGACGAGGGCCCGAGGTCTTTGCCTCGCCGCTTTCCCGCCCCCCTGCCGTGCCCGTGGCACACAGGGGGCCGTCCAGAAAAGCGGCTCGGGACAGGGATCCTGGGCGTCTTTTCCACCACCACCACCACCGTAAGTTGGAGGGGGGAAGGAGGTGGAGGAGGAGGAGGAGGACGAGGAGGAGGAGGAGGAGGAGGTGGAGGAGGAGGAGGAGGAGGAGGGAGGAGGAGGAGGAGGAGGACTCCCTCCTCTCCTACATATAGTTGGTGGTGGTGGTGGTGGTGGTGGTGGTGGTGGTGGTGGTGGTGGTGGTGGTGGTGGTGGTGGTGGTGGTGGTGGTGGTGGTGGTGGTGGTGGTGGTGTGGGTGGTGGTGGTGGTGGTGGTGGTGGTGGTGGTGGTGGTGGTGGTGGTGGTGGTGGTGTGGTGGGTGGTGGTGGTGTGGTGGTGGTGGTGGTGGTGGTGGTGGTGGTTGGTGGTGGTGGTGGTGGTGGTGGTGGTGGTGTGGTGGTGGTGGTGGTGGTGGTGGTGGTGTGGTGGTGGTGGTGGTGGTGTGGTGGTGGTGGTGGTGGTGGTGGTGGTGGTGGTGTGGTGGTGGTGGTGGTGGTGGTGGTGGTGGTGGTGGTGGTGGTGGTGGTGGTGGATAACAAGCCCATCAAAGGAGAGCTCGGTTCCGCGAGAAGCCCCTAGTGATCAGGGCCCAGTGGGCCCGCTTCTCTCAGAGGGCACCTTCTCATCGGCCCGAGCAGGGGGCCGAAATGGCGCCACCTGGCCCGCTCCGTGTGCCAAGATGCCCGTCAGGGAGGGCGCGTCTCAGCGCAGGGAGCGCCCCCCTCCCCACCTGCGGGGGAACGTAAGACTCGAGTGCGCCGGGGCTCAGGCTGGCCGACGTTTTTCGACGAGCGCGTCATGGATTCTGACGGCCCGGGTTTCGTGGGACGTCTGCAGCGGGGGCTCGCGTGAAATTTCAGACCAGGTCTCGTCATTTTCATGGTGGCCTTGAGTCGGGCTTGTCCCGCCACGGGAGGAATGTTCAAACATAGTGTCAAACAAATAGTCAGGGGACGATGTTTATCAAATTCTTGACGCTTCGCGTATCCCCACCAGCCCATCCTACACCAGGCACTCGAACGAAGAGCGCCGATGATCGGCAGCTGTTCTCCTCCCCTCTTCCTCCTTCTCCTCCGCCTTCTCCTCCTCCTCCTCCTCTCCTCCTCCTCCCTCTCCTCCTCCTCCTCCTCCTCCTCCTCCTCCTTCGCCTCTTCCTCCTCCCTGGTGGCGTATTGGAAGTGTCTTCGAACGTTTTGGTGGGCTCTTGGGCCTTGCGGGCGGGCGGGCGGCGCTCCGCCCGCCCGCGCGCAGGGCCCAAGAGGGGGTCCAAGACGTCTCTCGGAGCCATCTTGGAGGAGATCGATCAACGAAGGGGGGGTCCTAAATTTCAGCCCCCCCCTCAGGAGCCACGATCCTCGTGAGGGGTGTCGAATTTTAGCCCTCCCAGGGGTCGATCTTGGACGCTCTGACCGATCGCGGCCCCCCCTGTCCAGGTCAGTGGGGAGGGGGTAGGGGGAGGGGTAAACCCCTCCCCGAAGGGGAAGAAGGAGGGGTGGAAGAGGAAACGCTCTAAACCACCGACGCCCAGAGGGCTGGTGGGATTATGTTCGAACATGTTTGGTATTTGTAAAATTTTTCACCCAAAATCCGCCTGTAGGGGGACACGCTCGACCTAATGATGGCCCCCTGTCAGGCCAACCCCAGCTTTCCGAGCCCGAACCTTGCGCCTCCCCGACGCCCTCACGGGGAACCACCATGGTCCGCCTGGGGCCCCTGGTCCTCGGTCCTCGGCGGAGGGCCAGCCGAGCCGACGGCGGCCCCCCGCTGGGCCCCGCTCTGCTCCGCGTCGGACTGCTCCCTCCTCCCTGGACAGGGGGGCCGCATGCGAACCCTACCCCCCCCCTCCCCCTCAGAAATCGTGGGGGGTGGGGGGGTAGGGTTCGCAGGTGGCCCCCCACCGGACCTCTCCCTGGGTGCGTTCTGGCCCGGGTCTCGAGGCGGATCCGGCGGTGGCGGCGAGGGCCTCCCAGGACGCCCCCAGAGAAAGGGAAGATTTATCATGCAAGGGGTATAGGCGTAATTATTGGCACTGCTTCCTCTGACTCCTCGCCCCCGTCGTGCACTCAGCAGGAGTCCGAGCTGCTGTGCACGTTCCCGCACGGCTGGCGCTTCGACGCCACGGGCCGCCGCGGCGAGTGGCTGCGGCTGTCCCTGCCGAGCGCCGAGGGGCCCCGCGCGGCGTGGGTGCCCCGCGCCCTGGGCGGCGTGGAGCTCCTCGTGCCTTGCCCAGAGGGCAAGGACTGCCCCCCAGGGGCCCCTCGCGCAGAGCGGCACTGCCGGCACGAAGCGCCTCCCGCCGAGGCAGGAGGAGGTTGGTAGGAGCTAGGAGCTAGGAGGCAGGGGGACGGAGGATGGAGGACGGAGGAGGAGGAGGAGAAGGAGGAGGAGGAGGACGAGTAGGAGGAGAAGACTTGTTCCAGATCAGGGGTACCAACAAAAAGCATTTGCTAATACATTCCGCCGAGGAGTTCGGCCTGACGTGGCCTCTAGACTACCTCCGGGCTTCCGGGGGGGCGACTCTACATAGAGGCGGAGATAACGGGAGACGCGTGAGAGCGCGCATGAGAGCCGGCCTTTGCCGCGCCCTGACGGCCCGTGAGAACCGGGGAGACGCACGAGAGAGTGCAGGACCTCTGGCCTTGCCGCCGGGCTTTGTTCCTGAGGCAACTGCCTCGCGACGCGGGCTAGCGCGCAGAGAAATGGATGCGCGAACGTTGGCGGCACTGGCGCCAGGCGGCGCTCAACAAGGGGAGGTGGACCGCGATAATTACCCGGGGAGACGCCAGGGCGCGCAGGGCCGCCGGCCTTGCCGACAGGCTGTGTCCTTGAGGCAACGGCCTCGCGACGCGGACGCACGATGGCTGGCGCTGCCGCCAGCCAGCGTCCGAACGGGAACGAACCCTGGAAGCGGTTCGACGCAAGCCTTGCCGCCGGGCTGCGTCCTTGACGCAACTGCCTCGCGACGGGGGCGAGCGCGCATGATCTGTTGGCGCACGATTGCCGGCACTGCCGCCAGCCAGTGTCCAACAAAGGAGACAAACCTTGGTTATCGTTTAGACGCGAGAACGTGCAGGACCGCCGACCTCGCCGCCGAGCTGCGCCCCTTGAGGCAACGGCCTCGCGACAGGGGCAGGCACGCATGATCTGCGGACGCACGATGGCTGGCACTGCCGAACCAGCGCCCAAAGGGGGGCGAGCCTTGGTAGCTGTTCGGCGTGAGAGTGCGCAGGGCCTCCGGCTTTGCTGCCGGGCACCTCCCCTGAGGCATCGGCCTCGCGACGGGGGCAGGCGCGCAGAATTTTGGAACGCAGGCAAGCTGGCATTGCCGCCAGGCAGCACCCACAGGAAACGAATTGTGAGAACCGACAGAAGTGCGAGGGTTTAGGACCACATGCCTTTCGTCCAGGCTACACTCTTCAGGCGACTGCCTCGCTACGGTGGCAAGGGCGCAGAATTTGCGGATGCACGATAGCCAGCACTGCCGCCAGACAGCGCCCAAGGGGAGACGAACTTGAGTAGCGGTTCGACGTGAGAGCACGCAGGATGGCTGGCCGTGCCGCCAGGCGATGTCCGTGAGGCATTTGCCTCGCGACGGGGGCAGGCGCGCAGAAACTGTGGACGCAGGCAAGCTGGCACTGTCGCCAGGCAGCGCCCACAGGAAACGAAGTGTGAGAACCGACAGAAGTGCGAGGGTGCAGGACCGCATGCCTTTCTTCCAGGCTGCATTCTTCTGGCGATTGCCTCGCGACCGTGGAAAGGGCGCAGAATCTGCGGATGCACGATAGTCAGCACTGCCGCCAGACAGCGCCCAAGTGGAGACGAACTTGGGTAGCCGTTCGACGTGAGAGCGCGCAGGACGATTGGCCGTGCCGCCGGGTGATGTCCTTGAGGCAACTGCCTCTCGACGGGGGCAAGCGAGCAGAATCTGTGGACGCAGGCAAGCTGGCATTGCCGCCAGGCAGCGCCCAAAGAAAACTGACTGCGAGCTCCACGGCATTGCGGGCGTGCAGGACCGCTGGCCTTGCCGCTGGGCTGTGTCCTTGAGGCGACTGCCTGGCGACGGGGATAAACGCGCAGAATCTGCGGATGCATGTAACCTGGCACTGCCGCCAGACAGCGTCCAAGAAGAGACGAACCGCGGTAACGCGAACGACGCGGGGGTTCGCAGGACCGCCAGCCTTGCCGCCAGGCTGTGGTCCTTGAGGCAACTGCCTCACAACAGGGATAAGCGCGTATAGTCTGTCGATGCGCGAAAGCCAGCGCTGCCGCCAGCCAGCGCCCGAATGAAAACGAAACGTGGTGACTGTGGAGAAATGGGAACGCACAGGACCGCCCGCCTTGTCGCCAGGTTGTATCATTGAGGCAACTGCCTCGCGATAGGGGTAAACGCGCAGACTTGTGAGCGCACGCGAGCTGGCACTGCCGCCAGCCAGCGTCCCAAAGCCAAAAAGACAAACCTCGGTGACGGGAGAGACGTGAAAGCGTACAGAACCGCTGGGCTTGCCGCCAACCAGTGTCCTTGAGGCAACTGCTTCGCGACTGGGGGCGTGTATCATCCGTTGATCTACGAAGCCTGGCACTGCCTCCAGCCAGTGTCCAAAAAGGAGCAGGAGCAGGAGCAGGAGCAGGAGCAGGAGGAGGAGGAGGAGGAGGAGGAGGAGGAGAAGAGGAGGAGGAGGAGGAGGAGGAGGAGGAGGAGGAGGAGGAGAGGAGGAGGAGAAGGAGGAGTGGCGGGAGGAGGAGGGACGGGAGGAGGAGTAGGAGGAGGCCTTCTCCCCCCAGAGAGGCGCCCTCCCCCGAAGAGGACGCCCCGCCTGGGCCGCCCGCGCCCGGCGACGAGCCGCTGGCGAGCACGCCGGAGGGTTCGCCGCGGGCGGAGGCGCCGCGGGCGTCCCCCGGCGCGGCGGCCGAGGTCGAGGCGTTCCACACACCGCGGGGTCGGCAGGACGGCGCGGCGGAGCCGCCGCCGCAGGGCGGCACCGGGGCGGAGGTCGCCGCCGTCGTCGTCGTCGTCGTCGTCGTCGTCGTCGTCGTCGTCGTCGTCGTCGCCGTCCATGCGACATGCGACACTAAGTCCAAAAGTGATCATCAGCAGCAGCAGCAGCAGCCGAGAACCTAGCCTCTTGCACCTCCTCCTGCACATCCTCCTGCACCTACCCGTGTAGCATGTGGTGTCGTGGTGATGGGTGGTACGTCCGTCTTTCTCCATGCTTATGCCTGCTGGCCCGCCTCTGTCCCTCCCTCGTCGTGCGAGCCTACTCCTGCACCTCCTCCTGCTTCTCCTCCTCTTCCTCCTGACGGCCAAGCTCAGAGCTAGGGCCCAGGCGTCGAAGGACCCCCAGGAGGTGGCGTTCTGGGTCCGCGGCGCCCTGCCAGAAGACATATGCACCGTAGGGCCCACCATCCACGTGGGGCAGCTTGCTGTCTAAGTCCTTTCGAACAGCCTGGGTCCAGCTGAATACCATGTGGTCTGAGCCATGTTCCTCGCCGACCCTCATACCACGGGTGTGTGATCGCACGGTGTTCTTCCTTCTGCTATCCCTCCTCCCCCTTCCTCTCTCGCATCTCCTCCCTCGTCTTTCCAGTCTCGTCCTCCCTTGGCCAGTGGACAGGCTGGGGGGCACAGCTTGCCTGTGCACCGGTGGGTGTGAGCTGAGGGCGCAGAGTGAACAACAAATGCTCCGATTGCTGTTTTTTCCATGCTGGCTGGCAAAAGAAGAGCGCGATGAGTCGTCCTAGGGTGTCGAGAACCCCCCCCGAGAGGGCCGAAGAGAGGCCCAGGACGGCTCAAAGGGCCTCGGGGGTGGCCCAAGGCATGCAACAAGAGAGCCGCGACGCTGCAGAGGCGACCGAAGAGGCGCGCAGGAGGCCAACTTGACAGACCAACAGGCCTCCGAGACTGCCAACCAGGGCCATGAACTGTCCCAAGAGAGAGGCCCAAGGGGCCCACGGAGGGGTCCCGCACAGCCGAGCTGCTCGAGCAGCGCACGATGGTTCCCCGGATCGGTCTTTGCCGGGGGTGCCCCCACCCTTCCTGCGCAGGAGGGCCGGCGCCCAATGCTGGGCCCGATCGATGGACGATTTTGGTCGCTCGGGGTGCTTCGCTTCTGATGCCTGTGGCTGGTGCGAGCGGTAGCATACAGCGTGGGGCAGCGCACCACCACAGCCCGGCGTAGCACAGCAGTCGGTGGTCTGTCGTGCTCGGACCAGCCCGCCCAGGCGGTCGCTCCAGCCAGAAGGTTGCGTACGGGCCCGCCCGTGCGTGCGCGCGTCTGCGTCCACTGCTGTAGGCGTTTTGGCTCCCGTCGCTGCGGCAAGCCACGCGGTGGCCCTCCGGGTGTCGAGCGCCATGGCGGCGCTCGGTGCAGCACTGCAGCTGGGGCTGCTGTTCGTGGCGGAGTGGGTCCTGGCCGTGCTGCTGGTCGCCGTGATTAAGAACCTGCTGAGCAGCCCGCAGATGCAGTTCCCATACCCGCTGTTTGCCACTGCGCTCATGAACGCAGGGACGGCCCTGCTGGCGCTGGCTGTTGGTCAGGCTCGGCGGGCAGCCTTCTACGTGCAGTCGGGCAGGTCCGCGGGGCTGTCGCCCAGCCGGCTGGTGGCCCTTGGCCTTCGAGGCCTCTTCAACCTGAAGCCGCGTATCGATTGGGCGGATTACTCCAGGGGGTTGATGCCCATAGGTTTGATGATGGGGCTGGAGGTGGGGTTGTCCAACACGTCCCTAAAATTGTTGCCAGTATCTCTGCGGACCATGATCCACGCGTGCGGTCCTGCGTCCACCCTGCTCTCGGCATGGCTGTTTGGGTTGGAGCGGCTCACCTGGAAAATCCAAGTGGTAATCCTCCTTGTCGTTGGTGGAGGGCTGCTCAGTGCTTGCACGGACAGCGACGTGGGGACCATCTCGCATCTCGGCTTGACGACGGCCGTGCTGGCACTCGCCATGCAAGGATTCAGGTTCGCCTTCTCGCAGAAGGTCCTGCGGAGAGGAGTGACGCTCATGCTCAGCGACGAGAGCCGCAGGGAGGTCCTGGCGAGGCTGCGCCTCGGCGACTCGACTGGGCGGCTGCGGGACGCAGAGACGCCCTTCTTCGAGGCGATGTACCCCGCCGCTGGCCATCGGGACGGCACGCCAGGCAGGCCAGGGGTGGAGGCGCTGGTCGCGGGCCGCGGCGACTGGCCGAAGGTGCCGGCCGCCACGGGCGTCGGCGAGCTGCCCCGACCGGCCAGCAGCCCCGAGATCCCTACGGAGCTGCGCGCCTTCGTGAAGGCCCGCGCGGGCTCCAAGGCCGCGCACGTGAGCAAGATCGAGATCATGTCGCTCACCAACCCGCTGACGGCTGCCGTGTGCTTGCTCCTGGCAGCCGTGTCCGAGCCCGGCGCGTTCGGCGCCTTCGCCACGGGCTGGCGCGCCGTCGGGCTGAGCATCCTGTCGTGCTCCGTCTTCGTGCTCCTCAAGATGGGCCTAGACTTCCTCCTGATCCAGCGGACGTCCGCCTTCATCTTCTCCCTGGCTGGCGTGGTGCACAACCTGCTCGTGATCTAGAACAAGAAAAGACTGCATACACAGAAACTTATGGCGCTCCGCGCGGATTTCTTGGATCTGCGCTGGACCCCCTTCTCCCTGGCGCGCGGAGCGCGCCAGGGGCGGCGCCCGAGGCGTTGTTAAGGAGGGCCCAGCGCAGATCCGAGGAACATCCGCGCGGAGCGCCACAAGTTTGTGCTCATGCCGTTCTTCCTTCTTCTGTGATCCTCTCCGGCGTTGCGCTCTTCGGGGAGCTGGGGAAACCAAAAGGTACCGATACCGCTACTCCCCGGACTTCTCGTGGGGTGCGTTCTGACCAGAATTTCGAGGCGAATCCAGCGGTAGCGACGAGATCCTGCGAGGAGGCCCAAAAAGGGGAAAACGGCCGAAGGGCAGAGGTATGGGGACCTTTTCCTCCTCTGAGGAGCGGCCCGCACCGCTGGCCTGGGCCGGCTTCGCGGTCATCAGCAGCGGGGTGACCCTCTACGCCTGGCAGAAGGCCCAGGCCAGCTGAGGCTTGGGGCCGCCCTGGGAGGGCGCTGCGCGGGCCAAGGGCTCTATGGCCCGCGGGTGGCCAGCCTTAAGTCGGGCTTGCCCCTCTCTCTGTACAGGGAGGAGAAGGCACAAATACGAAAAAAAGCAGTCGGGGGACGATTTGTTTTGCTATTTCTGATCTTCTTTTGTATTCTTTACTATTTGTCACTTTTCGCCCATAATCCGCTTGTGGGAGGACATGCCCGACCTAAGGCCAGCCCGCAGCCTCGCCGCGGGGTGCGTCACGGGCAGGTGGTGCGGGCGCGCAGGTCGTGCAGCAGGCTCGGTCCGGCGTTTTTCCGCGTGCTCCTGGCACTGGGAGAAGAGAAACAGCATGAACACAAGCTTTCGTGCAGGTGTTTCGTTCTCTAGGTATGGCTGATAAGGGGCCTCCTCTGATGCTGCGCCGAGTTCACTTACCGATGCGCGGCTGACACGGGGATGCCCGCTGAGCCTCGGCTCTGTCTACCGACACACCCTTCGCAGCCGACAGGGCCAGCCTCCCCCATTTGAATGTTTTGTTCTCTGGCGCAGACATGCGGCTTAGAAGGGCCCAGGCAGCCAGCTAGCAAGCAGGACGTCGATACACCCCTGTAAGATGTATTTCAAAATGACATATGCGTTTAGATGCGAACGCGCCCTGGTCCAGGCGATAACCCTTTCGTATATAGTTCTTGGTCATGGGATCAACAGAGACGCATACATCTCTCTCTTTCTCTCTATATATATACACCATGGGCACGCATGCATACATAGATGCATGCATGTATGCTTGCATGCATGCGTGCATACAGCCGTACATACATGCATACATACATGCATGTATGCATGCAGACAGACAGACAGACAGACAGACGTGAAGACAAACCGGCAGGCAGGCAGGCAGACAGACAGACAGGCAGGCAGGCAGGCAGGCAGACAGACAGACAGACATGCATGCATGCATACAGAGGCATACATACACATATGCAACAACACATTCATATTTGCATGCATGAATGCATGCATACACACATACATACATACATACGCATACATCGTTCATATGTGTATGTGCATATACATGTATATATACATGCATATAGCTAGGCATGTATATCTCATGGCATTCGGCCGATCCCGCCACCGTGCCTGGGTTGTGGTTATGAAGCCTTTGGGGTGTTCGTTGGGATCTCGTGGGGGGCCTCTCGGGGGCCTCACGGAGGTACTTTTGAGGCATCTTGGGTGCCGGTTTGGGGCCTCGTGTTCCCGCTCTTGGGCCCCTTTTGGGGCCGTCTTGGGGCCCTCTTGGGCCGTCTTGGGGCCCTCTTGGAAGCCTCTTGGACCGTCTTGGGGTGGTCTTGGGGGCCTCTTGGGCCGTCTTGGAGCGTCGGAAACAGACAAGACGAGAATGCCCCAATCTTTCAAATACCCAAAGGAAATTAATTACGTTTGCCTGTTGGAGGCCTCCTTGGGCGTTGTGGAGGCCTCTTGGGTCGTCTTCGGGCCGTCTTGGGCATCTTGCGCCGATCGTTCGGCGACTCGAGGCCCTCTTGGACCGTCGTCTGGGCCTCTTGCAGCATTCTTGGCCCGTCTTGGGGCTCTCTCGGCTCAGAAAAAGTCACGCGAGAGCCCGCGGAGCCCAAGGGGGCACGCGGGAAGCCCCGAGAGATTTGGCACTTTGGGGTCTGGGCCCTGCAAAGACTCCCCAGGAGTGATTCAGAGATTATGCGAAGGACCCGAGGACACCACTCTGTGCCCGGCAGCACGGTCACGTATAATATATATATATATATATACATATATATATATATATATATATCTGTCGGGGTACGAGGCCAGGGGAGTCGCCATGGGAGGACCCCCCCCCCGGGCCTCTCCAGAGCTGCTCCGGGGCGTCTCCCGAGCGGCTCTGGACGGACCCTGGTGATGTTTCAGCACCAGGAATGGTTCCCATCTTCGACCCATGTCGCCGAAGCACGTGGTAGAGGTTTCGGGAGCCCTCCAACATGGCTCCAGACGCTTCCAGGAGCACTCCCACGAGAGCCCCGGGAGGCCAACATTGATGGTTTCCCGATGGTTTTGGAAGGATTTTGGCCTTCTGTTTTTTTCGGTTGTACGACGCTCCAAGACGGCCCAGGAGGTCTCCAGGTCCGCCCCCAAGCAGCCCCAGAGGCCCCCAAGACAAGCCCAAGGCAGCCCCGGAGAGCCCAAGGCTGGCCCAAGAAGCGCCCACGACAGCCCAAGAAGGCTCCAAAACAAGCCCAAGAAGGGCCCAAGAGAGGGACCGCGTACCGAACACCCAGGGCTCCCGCCTCTGAAGGGGCGTTTGAAGCAGGAGTGAGATGCAACAGCGAAGTCTCACTCGAGCGCAAGTGGGGTTGCCACACCTTGCGATGTGTGTACCAGGGCCCTCCAGGAAGCCTCATGAGGCCCGACGTGGATACCAAAAGAGGCTCCAGGAGGCCCCAGGATTGTGTGTTGTGTGTGTGTGTGTGATGTGATGTGTGCTCTGTGTTGTGCGTGTTTTTTGTGCGTTGTAGGTGTTGTGTGTGTTATGTTTGTCTAGCGTGTGATGTGTTGGGCGTGATTTGTGTCTCTGTGTGTGCCTGTAGTTCTGAGGCCCCAGGAGGCCCCAGGAGGCCCAAGGCGGCCTCAGGAGGCCCCAGGAGACCCTAGGAGGCTCCAGGAGGCCCCAAGAGGCTCCAGGATGCCGCAGGAGGCCCCAGGAGGCCCCAGGAGGTTTCAGGAGACTCCCAGGAGGCTCCGAGGCGGGGTCTGGGGTATCAGAAGGTTCAGAAAGCCCCAGGAGGCCCCAGAAGGTTCCAGGAGGCCCCCAGGAGGCTCCGAGGCGGGGTCTGGGGTACCAGAGGGTACGTCGGGGCTCGATTTTGGGAGGATGTTTCAGGCGAAACCGCCATTCTCTGAGAATCGGGGTCAAAATTATTGAAATTACGATGTGTGTTTGAGGTTGTATGTTTGAATGTTGAAATTCCCATGTGTTGTTGGACCCTGACGTCACGATCTGCGTGAGGGGTGCCACCGATGTTCAGAATTTCGAGGATGTCCCTAGCGAAACGGCCAGAAACATCGCGGACGCGGCGCCCCGCGTACGCATGAATCGCCTCTGAGCTCTACTCCCTCGGAGAGGTGCGTGTGATAATATATACATATATATATATATATACATATATATATATGTTATGTATAATGGCCTTCTCGGGATGCTTCTCGGGATTTCGTGGCGCTGTTAAGTTTTCAAGCCTTAGGGGGGCTGCTGAGGGGCCTCTTTTGGGCCTCTTGTGAGCCCCTCGGGGCCTCTTGGCGGCCTCTTTGTGGCCTCTTGGAGCCTTTTGGGGGCCTCTTGGGGCCTTCTTGGTGCCACCTGGAGGCCTTTTCAGGCAAAGGGATCCAAGTCTCAATTCAATTCCCCCCTCTTGGGCCCTTCTTGGGGTTGTCTCTGAGCCCTCTTGGGCCGTCTTGGGCGCTTCTTGGGCCGTCTTGGGGCCCTCGTGGGGCGTCTCGGGGCCCTCTTGGGCCCTCTTGGGCCCTCTTAGGCCCTCTTGGGGCAGTCTTGGGGGCTTCACGGGCCGTCTTGGAGCGTCGGAAACGCGAAAAGGCGGACACGCTAAAATCCGTTGAAAACCACATGGAACTTGGGCCCAAGGAATGCTCCTAGACGTTCCACCACGGCGCTCGTCGACAGGAGCCGGCAGAAGTAAAACGACGCCGACGACGGCGGAGGGTTGGCGGAAGTCAAGGACGCCCCTTTCCGAGCCCCCTTTACCCCCCTTTTAAAAGCCTAGCAGGGCATCCCTCTGCGTGGGATGGGCGGGGCCCCGCCTGACTCAATCCCGTCGGATCATCTAACTCGTACTTCCGCCAGCTCAAGAAACCTCTTGTTAATAACAGGGTAGACCGAGAGCCCGTCTCGTCCTCAGATCCCGCCAGCCTGGGATCAGCCCAGCGCAAGAGGGGGCGGCAGAGTTGCAGCTTCCCTGCTGTGTTAGGGTCGTCTTGAGGTTATCTTGAGACAATTTTGCGATCAGATCCGACTCATTGTTGGATCGCGCGGACGTAGTCGGGCCATTTTGGAGCCATTTCGGCTGCGCCTGCATTCATCGTGTGGCCATCGTGTCATCTCGGGGTCATTCGTTGCTCCGAGACGATCCTGAAGCCATGTTGGGCTCATGTTGGGGCGGCATTGTCCCTGCGCCGCCTGGACTTCACCGTCTGTGGTCTGAGCCCTCCTGGAGCCATTTTGTGGTTATGGGGCCTTCTTGGGATCGTCTCCAGGCCAGCTCTGAGAACGCGCGCGCAACGTGTCATCTTGCCGAGGGCGCGCTTGCAAAGACATCCGATTGAGAGTTTCCAAGGGAACTTCTGCTGGAGCCAAGGGCCCTCTTGGAAGTGCTGTTATCTTGGGTTATCTTGGCGGCCGATTGGGTCATCTTGGAGCCATCGGGGGGGTCCCGGGGATCGTCTTGGGGACCCCTTGGGGACCTCTTGGCGACCTCTTGCGGCCCTCCTCGCCCGTCTTGGGGCCCGCTTGGGCCCGAAAAAGTATAGCGACAACACGCCCTAGCGCGCCAGAGATCCCAGGGAGCCCGTGGACAGCTTTTTTGAAGATTTGGCAATCTCGCGCCCGGGTCCCGTAAAGAATCCGCAGACTTGAGGACTGAGGCTCAGAGGTTGAGCAAGGGACCTGGGGACACCCTACTTCGTGCCACAGGCGCACGATGGCAGATGTATTCATATAGATAGCTGTATTTGTACATACATACATACATACATACATACATACATACTTACATACATACATACATACATAACGTACATAACATACATAACATACGTAACATACATAACATACATAACATACATAACATACATAACATACATACAACCATACATACATACATACACACACATACATACATACATACATACATACATACATACATACATACATACATACATACATACATGCATAAATGCATGCATGTATGCATGCATGTATATATACATACAAACACATACCTACATGCATACATACATACATGCATGCACACATGTATACATACATACGTACGTACATACATCTAGCCTTGCATACTTTTAAATATAGTCTTACATGCATGTAAACAAACATTTACACACATGCACATACACAGACGCATACACATATACATGTACATAGACACATGCACATACAAATACATATACATATACATAAACACATATATATAATCACATACAAATGCACACATACATTTACCTATACATATGCACATACATATACTTATTCACACGTATATATGTATATGTTTGCGCATCTGTGCATTGCTATGTATCTGTAGTAAGGCGCTGAATATTCACATACAACATTGATCTGCATTGATTCGGGTCTGGCGGGTCCGGCTGGGTCCGGAGCGTCCTTACTACCTCTACCGGATATGTACCCTCTTCCTGGCTTCGTCTTACACTAGGCCTCCTAGATGGGGTCCGAGCAGATGGGGTCGGAGGATTGCGCCGCATCGCCGATGCATCGACGATGCGGCTCGATGCGGAGCCCGAGTTTCCCCACGTCTGCGTCGGTGGCCCCGTGGCCGGACGCCGGGCGCACGAGCAGCGCCCGGCGGGAAGGCAAAGAAGCAGCAGCTCCCGACGCCTCTCGACACCTCTCGAGGGCGGGGCGCCCCCTCCCCTGCCAGGGTGAAGTCGAGCCTGTCCCTCTTACAGGGGGAGGTTCGAAAATAGCACAGTCGGCCCAAATTAGCAGGTCGACCCTGCCAAATCAAGGGTACCTTTGTGTTGTGTGTCTCGCGACCCGTGCCTCCTGCATTCCTATGGCAATGTGGCCCCCGGAAGGGTCTTTTGTCCTCTCGCGTGTCCTGTCCAATGAAGACCGATTGTTAAAAATAGTTCGGGGGCGATTTGTCTGTTATTATCTTCTTGACCATGTTTGAACGTGTTTTGAATATGTTTCAGTTTTTGCCCAACATGGGCCTGCAGGGGGGCACGCCCGACCTGATCCTCGGGAGAGCGCCGTCGCAGGGGTGTGTCCGTGCGTCCCCCGAGGGCGAGGGCCCTCGTCGCCGATGCCCCTCGAGGGCGAGGCCCCTCGGTGCAGTCAGGCCGAAGCCTTATGATGGTCTCACCCACTCTGGCCTTGATCACCAGAAAGAATTTCGAGCACCAGGAAAAGGTACCGAAACTCGAGGGTTTTCACGCGTCGGGTCCTGGGAGACACTGTTTCGACACTCTTTCGATACTTTTTCTGAGTGCTCGAACATATTTTGGGGATGTGGTCTTTAAGTACGATGGGAGCAACATAACCCCCGGTGCAGTCAGGCCGAAGCCCACAGCTGCCCCCGTCTCCCATGGATCCCAGAGCTCCTGGCGTTGCACTTTTTTCTGCAACCCCAGACCTCCTCGCGCTGTGAAGAGTTCACGACAGGCGGTTTCTAGCCATTGTCGGCCTCCCCGGGGGCCTCCGCGGGCCCCAGGACCGTCGAAAAACGACTCAGGATGGACATCCGGTCCCTGGGAAGGGGTCCAGACCTCCTGGGGTCGACGTTGTGCAAAAATCACGACGTCGGGGGTCGGGGTTGCCGTTGCATTTTTTTTGCACAACGGGCGTGTTCGCTCATTTTCGGGCCCCGGGATCCTCTCAGATCGACCCGGCTCGAAACATACCGCGGAGAGAAGGGGTCCCGGGCTCCTGTCGTGATCTTCTTTTTGCGATGTTGAAATTGTTGGGCTATATCGGATCTCAGGGTTTGTCCCCGCCTCTCATCGGTTCAGGAGGATTGATGGCTGGCGGGGGTGCAGTCGGACGGCGGCATAAGATCGAGGTCGGTTCGGGGAGTGTACCCTACAATAGTGTTCTTCTTGCTTGCCGGGCGATCTTGTGCATGCTGGGGGGGTACCCTTGGAGGTTCTGCTTGTTTTGGCCGGCGGAGGGTCTCAGGTTCACGAAGGATGTGCTTCTGGCCCAGGTCCGCCCGCATCCCTGCAGGGCGAGGCCCCTCGGTCTCGAGGCCCCCCGAGCCGACTACACGTCAGTAAAAGTGGCCCTTCGCCAGAGAGGGCCGTCGGTGTGGGCTTACCGGGGGTCCCCCGAATGCCGAGCGCGATGCGACAACGGCAGGTTCGTGTCGTGCCGACCGGCGGCGACCCCAGCGCGTGCGTTCAAGGTTGGGCGCCGTCCGTGGCCCAGAATCGGCCCGTGGTGGAACCATCCGGCTCTCCCGAAGCGGCCGATCGCTCAAGCTTGAAGGATCCCGCGGTGTCAGAGGCCAGCGCCAGGGTCGGCACGACCCGGGCCTGCCGTGACGGCTGCCTGCGCGCTCGGACTTGAGACCACCCTGCGCCTCCTCCAGCCGCGCACTCAAGAAGGCCACTCTTTGCCTACCAGGGTCACTCCTTGCGCGTCGCCGATCGATGCCCCCAATCGGGTCCCCGGGAGCTCCCGGGCGCTCTGGGGAGGCCGCGGCGCCCAAGGCCTCCTTCGGGGCCGCCGGGCCTCAGAGAGTCTCGACTCGTGCTCACTGGATGCTATCCTCGTCCTGGCTTCGTCTTCCCAGACCCCCAGCGTCGTGATTTTTTCACGGCGTCGACCCCCATGAGGTCTGGGCCCCTTCCCCGGGAACGGCTTTGTATCCTCAGTCGTTTTCTGTCGGTTGCGGGGGCCGCTGAGGGCCCCGAGAGGCCGAAGTTGTCAATACCTCCCGTCGTGATTTCTTCACAACGCGAGGGGGTCTGGGTTACTCGAGGGCCGAGGGCAAACCCTGGCGCCTCCCCCCGCCCAGGCCAAGGCCGCGGAGTTCCAGCCCCTCTCAGAAGCCAGGCGAAGGCTTGCAAACCCGTGGCTGCTAAAACGGAGCTCCGGGAAAGTTGTTTTCTTCTTCCGGGAAGCAGCCCGTTTACGATTTCTAGCGCGCTGAGCTTTACTCCGGGAATCAGTTTTGTTTTTCTTCCTGGAATTCTTGCGCAATCTTGCAGCCCTGGGGGGCTGCCGCCGCGGCGCGCAGAGAGCGCGGTCGCGCCCACCCCCGAGGGGAGGTTCGAGGCTCGATGTTAAGGGACTGAGGATCGAGGATTGAAGTTCGAGGAGGAGGAGGATAATGAGGAGGATTTTGAAACAGTCCTCGCCCAGCTTCCGCCCCTCCCGCCGCTGCCCGAGGCTGGGGAGTTCCAGGGCCACGCCGCCGTGGCCCCGCCAGGGCAGGCGCAGCCTGGCGCCGGCCCCGAGGTGGAGGCCGCGGCGAGGAGCGAGCACCAGGTCGCCCTCGTAGGATGAGGAGGAGGATGAGGAGGAGGAGGAGGAGGAGGAGGAGGAGGAGGTCCGTCGTCGTCGTCGTCGTCGTCGTCGTCGTCGTCGTCGTCGTCGTCGTCGTCGTCCTCGCCGCCGCTGCCGCAGCCGCCGTCGTCGCAGCCGCTACCGTCGCCGTAGTCGACGTTCTTGTCGTCGTTGTCGTTGCCGTCGTCGTCGTCGTCGTCGTCGTGTTCGTCGTCGTCCGTCGTCGCCCGTCGTCGTGGTCGTGGTCGTGGTCGTCGTGGTCGTCGTGGTCGTCGTCGTCGTCGTCGTCGTCGTCGTCGTCGTCGTCGTCCTCGTCGTCGTCATCGTCGTCCTCGTCGTCTTCGTCGTCGTCGTCGACGTCGCCAGGTAGCGGAGTTCCAGCAGTGGTGGGATGCTGGGCACGGAGCGGGCGCGGCGGCCGAGCACGCCGTGCTGGGCCTGATCGACGTCTGCCAGCTGGCGCAGATCGTATCGGCCGGCGCCGGATACCACACCATCTTGACGCTGGACAGGCACCGACGACGCTGCAGACGAATACGGCGACGACCGACGACGACGACGACGACGACGACGACGACGACGAGGACGACGACGACGACGACGCACGTCGACGACGACGGACGACGACGACGACGACGACGGCGACGACGAGGACGACGACGACGACGACAACGACGACGGCAACAAGACGACAGCGACGACGACGACCACGACGACGACGACGACGGCGACGGTAGCGTCGGCGACGACGACGTCTGCGGCGGCGGCGGCGGCGGCGGCGACGACGACGACGACGACCACGACGACGACGACGACGAAGACGACGCTCGACAGGCTGGATGCGCTGCAGAGGAGGATCGCCTCGGACGGGCGCGCCGAGCTGGACCCCCTGCGCCGGGCGCTCCAGGCGCGCGGCGGCGCCAAGCCGCAGGCGCGCGCCGTCGGCTCCCTGCTCTTCAGGGAGGCCCTCGCCCTGTTCCTCGGGCTCCGCCAGGGGCGGCCCGGTGCAGCGCCCGGCGCGGCCCTCGCGAGCTCCCCGCGAGGCCCGCCGATGGGTCAGGCGGGCGCCGCCGTGGCCGCGGGCACGCCACCGCGGCGAGGCGGTGACGGCGCCGCGGCGGCGGGCGCGACCAGCGACGCCGCTGGGGCCGCGGCGCTGGACGAGGCCTGGGAGCCTCCGCGGCCCTTCGTCGTGTGTTCCGAGGATGGGCAGAGGAAGCGGCCTGCAGACACCGCTGGCCTTGCCTCGCTTCCGCCTTCAAAGCTGGGCCTCCTGGGAGGCCTTCGTCACCGCGGCCGGCCTCGCCCCAGAAAACCCCGGCCAGAACGCGCGCCCCAGGAGAGGTCAGGGGCGCAGCGGCATCGGCACCTTCGCAGAGATCCGGTGTTGTGATTTTTTCAATGCGGGGTCCCCGGAGCTCCGACCCGTTCCCCTGGACCAGTTTTTCATCCTGAGGCGTTTTTTGAGGGTGATGGGGCCTGGCGAGGGCCCCTTGAGGCCGAACAGGGCAAAAGACCTCCGTCTTGATGCTTTCAATACGTGGGACCTCTGGGTTTCGATCCCCTCCGAGGAGCTCGGCGTGCGCTGCGCGCCCTGCCACCAGGGCGAGCTGCTCGCCAGCGTGCCCCGCGGCACCGAGCTCCTGGCGACGGGGCGCCACGGGGAGTTCCTCTCTGTGCAGGCCTTCGGTGCCCGGGGCGAGCCTCGCGCCGCCTTTGTGCCCTTGGCCGCCGGCGGCGTTCAGCTGCTGGTCGAGGCGCTGGCCTCCCCGGAGTGGCGGGGCACCATCATAACCAGCATCATCAGCAGCAGCATCATCATCATCCTCATCCTCATCATCATCCTCATCCTCCTCATCATCATCATCATCATCATCATCATCATCATCATCATCACCATCCTCATCATCATCCTCATCCTCATCCTCAGCATCAGCATCAGCATCATCATCATAATCCTCATCATCATCATCATCATCATAATCATCATCATCATCATCATCATCATCATCATCATCATCACCATCCTCATCCTCATCCTCATCCTCATCCTCATCCTCACCATCATCATCACCATCCTCATCATCATCATCATCCTCATCCTCATCCTCATCCTCATCAGCATCATCATTCATCATCGTCGAGGCGCCAGCCTCCCCGGAGCGGCGGGGCACCGGCGGCGGGAGCGGGGCCCGCGGGTCCCCGCCGCAGGGGCCGCCGGCGCCTGGCCCTGCGGAGGTGCTCGGAGGAGGAAGCGGCACACCGATGCCGCTGCTCGTCCCGGAGGGCCCTCGCCGCCGCAGCCGGATGCGCCTCGGAGTTCTGGTCAGAACGCACCCCGGGAGAGTCGGGCCGAACGAAAGGGGGGGATTACGCAAACTGCTGCATGCAGCTGGTTTCGGCCCCGCCGCTGGGCCCATTCCTCGATACATGGGCGCCTCCCGGCGCCGGGAGGCGCTGAGAAACTCAGCTACGTGGGAAAATCAAGTGCGTGTGCCTCTACAGGGGGACTGTTCAAAATTACCCCAGTGCGACCCTACCTAGAAGTTGGAGCCCCTGGGAAAGCAGCATTAGTTGATATGCTATGCTATGCTATGCTATGCCATGCTATGCTGCGCTGCTATGCTATGCTGTGCTATGATATGCTATGCTATGCTGCGCTATGCTATGCTAAGCGATGCGATGCTATGCTATGCTATGCTAAGCTATGGGATGTCATGCTGCGCTGTGCTATGCTAAACAATGGTATGCTATGTTATGCTAAGCTGCGCTATGTTATGTTATGCTATGCTACGCTATGCTATGCTATGCTGCGCTATGATATGATATGCTATGCTATGCTATGCTATGCTATGCTTGGCTATGTTATGCTATGCTATGCTATGCTATGCTCATGCAGCGCTGCGCTATGCTAAACTAAGCTAAGCTAACCCTCTAGGCAGAGCCTAGGTAGGGAATTACACCCATGCTAACTACCCGAACAGAAAACTAAACTGGCAACGCGGTTGGCACACACGAGCGCCACAACATACACACACATATCCTGAGCTAAGATGAAATAAGCTAAGCTAAGATAAACCTGAGCTAAGATGAAGCTCAGCTAAGCTAATATGAAATAAGCTAAGCTAAGATGAGATCGGCAACGCTAAGCTAAGGGGACGTAACTGGGGGAACCGCGGGGCGGATACTGGGGGAAGCGCCCGGGGCGGTGTGCACTGCCCGGCCCCTTTAAGAAAGAGAGTAAGAACCCTCTAGGCAGAGCCTAGGTAGGGAAATAGTAGAAAAATAGTCTGGGACGTTTTTTGGCTATTTGATCAGTATTGAGTATTTCTGGAACATTTTTCGTTCCAAATCCGCCTCTAGGGGGACATGCCCGACCCAACTCTGGTCAGAACGCACCCCGGGAGAGGTCTGGGGAGTATGGTCTCGTTGGCGCCTGGCCCCGCGGAGCGCGGATTTCTTGGATCGGCGCTGGGCCCTCCTGGTGGCGCCTCTGGCGCTGGGCCCCCCCCGGCTGGCGCGCTCCGCGCGCAAGGGAGGGTCCAGCGCCGATCCTTGAAGTTCGCGCGGAGCTCCGAGAAGTTGTGCTGCTTCGAGTAGGAGGTCGACTACAGTATTGATTGGCCCCATGATCGCAGGCCTGGAGGTTGACATCAACACCAGTTTCGGCGGTGTGCATCCACCGAGGGAAGACGATCCCGATCTCGGTGATGGTGGTCATATGATGGCTTCCAAGGTGGCCGAAATATGATCACCAACACCAGAGTCTAGGATCATCTTCCCCCTTTGGAGGCACCCCCCTGTGTTGGTGTTGGTGCCCATTTGCAGGCCTCCAACATGGTTGATTTTCTCGTTTGATCTACGGACATACGTAGGATGACCCGTAGACGTACGGGGCATCCTGCGCATTTTTCGAAGGTTCGGCGAGGAGCGCAATTTTTGGGGAATTCGATTCTGTGGTCGATCCCCTACTCGATTGCTCTGCAGGTGCTGGCTGCGGACCCGACGGCGCGCCTCTTGGCGCTGGAGGCCAAGGTGCAGGCCCAGGACAGGGGCCCCTCTCGGATGTCGAATTCGATGCGGAAGTTCGGCCGGCTCGATGCTACGCGGCAGCTCGATGCGCCCCGCCTGCTCGCGCGGCGTGGTTTTGTGCGCCGCGGCGCGGCCGACGCGATCCGAGCCCGACTCCGCGCCGAGGAAGCCCGATTCCGCCCGCGCTCCGATCCACCCCTGCTTCCACCGGTTCTGTGCCGACCAGTCCCACCAGGACGCCGAGCTCGGCGCCCTGCGCGAGGAGTTGGCGTGCCTCCGCGAGGGCCTGGGTGCTGCGGCGGCCCTGTTCAAGGGCATGGCCCTCTCCGGCGACCGTGGTGCCGCAGCTACTCCGGCGGACGCGTTGGCGCAGGCCCGGCTGGCCGGAAGCGCTGTTGCTGCTGCTCGGCCTCCTGCTATTGCTGCTGGTCCTGCTCGTCAGCGCCGTCATCGTCTCCGTGGTCGTTCTCGTCCTCATTTTCTTCATCATCACCATTGCCATCGTCATCATCACCATCATCACCATCATCATCACCACCATCATCATCATCATCATCACCATCATCATCATCATCATCATCAGCATCATCATTGCTACCCTCAGCATCATCATCATCATCAACACGAGCACCAGCATCAGCATCATCGTCATCATCATCATCATCATCATCATCTTCGTCGTCTTCATCATCAGTATCGTTGTTTTTACCACCATCATCAGAATCATCATCCTTGTCATCATCGCCATCGTCATCTCCACAGTTAGTAACATGAGCATAATCATCAGCATCATCAACAACACTTCCATCACCAGCATCGGCATCACCATCATCATCAAAATCGGAAGCCTCATCATCATCATCATCATCATCATCATCATCATCATCATCATCATCATCATCATCATCATTATCATCATCATCATACTAATCATGTTCATCGTCACCGCCACCATCACCAGCAGCATCATCAGCATCATCTTCCTCATCACCCGTATCATCAACAGCATCATCATGATCACCACCATGATGATGATCAGCATCATGACAGCATCATCATCGTCATCGTCATCGTCGTCTTCATTGTCGTCCTCATCATCATCATCACCAGCAGCATGAACATCACTTTCAGCATCATCGTCATCAGCATCATCATCAGCATTATACTCATCGTCAGCATCGTCATCGATATCGTCGTCGTCATCGTCATCGTCATCGTTCTCCTCCTCCTACCCCCCACCACTTACCCTCCTTCATCCGACATACCAATCCGACAGCCGCATGCCTCAGGCAAGCAAACTCGCCAAACTCTCAATGGCCTTGCTGAGAGCAATGGCTTCGATGAGGCCACTGCTCTCTACAAGTCCTGGCCCAGTCATTGCTACTGGGAAGCGAGTTCTGCCAACCGCCTATTACATACCATGCGGCAGCCCACAACGAATGCTCGTAGGTCCCGCCTTCATTGGCCCTCCCCCTCATTAGCATTCACCCTCTTTTCTTTCTTCTCATCCACCCTTCTCGTCCTCTTCATCCACCCTTCGTCCTCCCTTGCTCCTCCTCTTTCTCATCTTCCTCATCCACCTCATCCTCACCATCATCATTATCCGCGCCCGCGTCCTCCATCCTTCCCTCCCTCCCGAGCCCCATGGAGACGCAACCTATCAGAGCCGCGGAGATATTCAAAAGGCTCTCAACACACATCTCGTCCCTTCTTCGTCGTCCCTCCCTCTTCCTCCTCCCATTCCCCCTCCTCCCCCTCCTCCTCCTCCTCCTCCTCCTCCTCCTCCTCCTCCTGCATCCCGCTCCCTCATCAAGAACTCCTCCGGGTCGCAGCCCCGGATGTGTCGGTGGGGCGGGCCGGGCTGGGCGTTTCGCCTCGAGATGCTCTCGGGGTCAAGAGACGGGGGCCAACACAAACGGGGGTCAGCCAGAGCGCGGGATCTCGCAGGACCCTGCGGGGCCGGGAGTGCGCCGACCCGGATTTGGGTGCAGGATCTTGTTGCATCCTGCAGGACCTTGCAGGATCTTCCAGGATCCTGCATGGCCTGGCTGACCCGGGCCTGCACTGACCCGGGGTCAATAATCCAGAAGCCGCATTAAAGTGATCATTGAGGCCCTCTGTGACAGAGGGGGTGTTTTTCGGAGGCCCTCTGTGACAGAGGGGGTGCGTTCGGAGGCCCTCTGTGACAGAGGGGGTGCGTTCGGAGGCTCTCTGCGATAGAGTTGCTCGTCATCCCGTTCCTCGTCATCCTGCTTCTTGATTTCGGATATGTCATGCTACCACTGCGCTCATCATCTTTGCGTCTGTGATCCTCGTCGTGTTTTTCCATGCGTCCTTTTCACAATTTCCACCACATTATCCTCCGTTGCCGTTCTGGCCCGCCATCTACCTCGTCACTCTCCTTCGTCTGCATGTCCTTATTCTTTTCCGCTCTTTTTTCGCCTCCCCTCTGGTTCGATTTCCGCTCTTCGTCCACTTCGTTCATTCGTTTCCAACCCCCCTTCCTTTCAAGTTCTCCGCCGTCCAATCACATCGCGTCGTCCGTCGCCGCTATGCTCAAACCATCCCGCGCCCGTGGGATCGCCCGCGAGCACCGGTGCAGCTGGGCCCGTCGCGGCCTAACGCGCGCCTGCGCCATCGTCTTGCAATGGGCGATGCAGGCGGATACACATGGGATGGCGCGGGAGGATGGTGGGATAGCCGCAGCAGCGGCTGGCGTGGCTGG